TTTTTCAAGGATCTACTCAGATGAATTGCCAAGGACATCTCAACTGCTGTCCTCTGACAAAATGCAGAGTACCAAAAAAACAAATAGAACAAAAGAACAATAAAACAAAAAAACAAGCCTGACAGACTCTTTGGACACCCCCCCACCCCCAGTCCAAGACCTCCCAGGAATTGTTTTTTGTGTTTTTTTGTTTTTTTTGCTCTTTTTGGCTTACTCCCTGAACAGTCTCCTAGGATTGTGTTTTTTGACACCTACCCCAAGACAAGACTTCTGAAGGGGTTGTTATTTTTGTTGTGCGTTTTCCTTGATCTTTGGATTATGAAATTACTTTTGCCGCCTTTTTTTCTCCAAAAATTGTTGTGCATGAGTCTGCCCAAGTTAGCTCTTGCTTGGGCGGGTAAACTCTACTGAACCAAACGTCGCAGCACAGCTTACCAGATTGACATTGCCTGGAATTGGAAAACAATTAGAAATGAATACCTGACACAATGAAGCATATATCAATTAAACATTTTTAGCGTTTGCAAAATTTGCAGAGGCAATGCAGAAGGAAACCAAGAAATCACTTTCGCGAAGGCTTCTTAAAGGATGCTGGTTGGCATTGATACGAATTGCCCTTGCGTTTGCGCTGGGCCACAATGGGACGGATGTACTCGGACTTCTTCATGGTCAGTGCTGCATTGTGCTTCTTTGCCAGGAACAGCAGAAGAAATCTGCCACGGTTCATCCGCATCTCGTTGAGCATTGGGCCATATTCACGGAACCAGGCAAAGGTTTGCTCAAATTCCTATATGTTGACTCCTTTGATGCGGCGGTCCAGCTTCCGAATATAGCCTGAAAGCAGAAGCTTTTGATCTAACAATGTCTGCAAAAGTTTTACACTAATAAAGCGTACTTCTTGTAAAAATGAAAACAACTAATCAATTCCAGAGAACGAGGATTGCAGTTGCATTTGGGCCCATGGCGAAGAGCATGGAAGCGATCGACCACATAATGCGTGATTTGGTTGAGGTCAGTATCCTCCTTGGCCGCAGGCATCATATGACATGCCCTGTCGTAGACGATGCAATTCACCTTCGGATACAGCCACAAGATGTCCTTGAAAGCTTCCATTGCCACCTCATGCCTTCTGGTTCATGCATGGATTTGAGACAAAGAATGCGACCTGTGTCTGGATCACAAACAGCAAACCATCGATTGGAATGTTTGCCTGCGTTCCTTGGGTTCTTGCGAGGCCGACCTGTCCTTTTGAGTGGTCCATTGGGACATTTGCATCTGACCTGCGCATGACCGTCTCCCACAAAGATGTTTACCTTTCCTCGATGGCTCGGAGGGAACAAAGTTAAGCGACAGAACGCATGGTACAGATCAACCGCACTATCTGACAATTCATTGTCAATTTCGATTTCCATGTGCAAGCCGATCTGTTCAAGCTCCTTCAAGGCCAAATAGTAGAACAGGGCTGTTTCGTGCAACTGGCGGAACCAGTGCTCCACATGGCCAAAGTGTTCAGAGAACACTGCATTGTATGCGTATGCCGTGGCACGCGTTGCGACTTGTCCTCGGAAAAGGAGCTCTTCGTGGTACTTGAGGTATTCGATGGTGAAACCTGCCTTGCTGGAGACAAACAAGACCTGGTCTGTGAGGGACATGCCCGGGTGTGAGGACACCATCTTTCCACAGATAGTTGTAGCCATAGTGTGTGCGACATGCCCGGGCAGAGCATTGTTTCGTTTGAAGAATGACTTCCTGTGGACCTGACAAACCATAGATCATGGCATGAATTTCCTTGGATGGGAGCAGGCTTCCTGAACAACCTGGACACACACAGGTCGACAGTGGACATTCGGATGCTCCACCAACATAGTCATGAAGGGACAGCTGCAACGAAGAGTTCTGAGTCTTCTTCTGTAGCCGGAAGATGGTCACTCCTTCGGAGAAGACGAATTCTGCTACCTGACCGATGTCCCAAATGCTCACTTTGCCATTGTCGAAGTGAAAAGAAACCTTCACTGGATTTGAGTCCAGTGAAGTGGTTGCCTTGATGACAGAGGTACTTGCCATCTACTCCCACAGTCTTAGAGTGACACACCTCTAGGCAAACATCCAGCGGGGACAACATGTCGTTGAGAGCAGCCAGAGAAAGGACCATCTGACAAAAAAGGACAGGGAAACCCAAACCATTGAAGTACAAGTACACCACATACGTCTTTGTATGAGACATGCTCCTGACATTCTCCTGGCTTGGCGCCTCCGAGGAAGTCTTCTTCCTCTACATCCATTTCGTCATCAGGCGCTTCCCCAATTTGTGGAAAAGACATACCATCATCGGGATCATTCGGAAGGGACGGCAACTCCGGATTCATGATTGTAGACGTTTCCCCTTCGGGTTGCAGATTTGCAGCCTCTGCCACCAAAAGTGGCGCCACGTCATGTGCCGTAGATGAAGCTGAAACAATGGCATCTGAAGTTTTTGCCCTTTTCTTTTGAGGCGAAAGGCGAGGGAGTGTCGAGCTCAATGGTGAGAGGTCCGTGATTTTTCAATTGTTTCAAAATCTCCTGAGCTTTCTCCTTCTTCACTTGAACTCGTGTCTCTGTAGGTGAGAGAACTTGTGGTGCAATGTATTGGGTTGCCACTTCCTCTCCAAACAGTCCAGTGTGTGATCGAATGGTGACAATCTTCGGTACAGACTCTCCTGCAATAAGTCGGCCAAGCACTCCTTGAGACCAAATGTTGTCACCATGAAATGTAGGAGGAAGCTTATGTTGAGCAGGATTGGCCGTGTGCTCTTTGAAGATTGGAACCTGAGATGGCTCTAGGATGTCTAGTGTCTCGTTCTCGGGCCACTTGATGAAGGTGATGTCATCCTTTGCAGTGCTCGCGATGCGCCAGAAGACCCCGTGATCCATCAGAAGAATGGTATGCGTTCTTGACATGATAGCATCCATGTCTTCAGCTGTCGACGGCAGCAAAGGAGGGCTGAATGATATCGAGGAAATCTGAATAAGAGATGTTCCATTCACCTTTGCTGCGCATCTTCTCGAAGAGCTCTGTCTCCAACGCCTTGCTGTACGGGTTGTTGCAGGCTTGCCGTCCGGCAGACTGTTCGAAGTATGCGGAGGAGTAGCGAGCCCATACTATCCTCTTCCTGACACTGGTTGTACGAGTTTCTTTTTATTTCAGACGCACTTTGTTGCATAACCTGTTTAGGAAGACGAGACGAATGTTCAACGTTAAAGGTATTTGTTTACATCCAGATAGCCGATGGATTCAGGAAGGCCTTCAAGAAGGAAGCACCATTCTTTTGCATGTGCCCGTCATCGAAGACACCAGGCTTGTATTTCGTCAGCGGCTCGGATTTGAAGAAATCGAGATGCTTTGCTGTGACGATGGACGGAATCATGTCTTCATCCCGTTCGTCCTGGGTGAGATCGAACTTGCTTTGTGGGAACAGGATTGTTTTGGATCCGAGTGCTTTGCCAGTACGGGTCTTTCCAATCCATGTAACAGCACGCCGCCTGATACTGCCAAGCATGCCGAGGAGCACCTCATTGAAAAACCAAGGCTTGAAGGATTTCAGCGTGAATGGCCAGTATTCTAAGGTTTCTGCGTTCTGGCGTCCACGCATATGATTCGTTAAAGCCGTGACGACCTTTCCTTCCTGCCAGCCTTCGATGGGTGAGCCTGGATGTGCTGGTCCGTCCACGCCATAAACTGGTTCCGATTGTTCGTCTTGGGCCCCTTCTCTCGGATGAATCTGCATCCCTCTTCTCGTGCCACATTGTCGGGCGTTTTCTTGTTGATCAAGTTTGGTTGGATACTCCAGAAGCGAATTTGTAATCCACCCATTTGGTTCAACATATAGTTCAATGCCAAGAGACCGGCTCTGTTTTGCCCACCCCATTCGAAGCGATGGCAAAGTCCCCGGCAGAGATCTATCCAAATGGAGGATGGGAGCTTGTTCTTGTTGAGGTAGATATGCTTGGTAATGTTCACATATGTTTGTTCTGGATTTGGTGCGTCTTCTGGAGGATTGACAGGAACCATGATGATTTGCATGAGAGTGGGCATAGACACTTCTGATGTCAATGAGAATTGTTCTGGTAGATCCTTGTACTTTCCGTCCACTACGTTTTTGTAGATGACACGCTCGAAGTGATCGGTGTATCCATCCCAGGGGTGATCCAAGATGATGCCACAGAATTGTTCAAGCATGCCTCCGTCTTTCTCCACAATGCGGAGAGGAAGATCATCAAACTGAACTGGCCCCGGTTCTCGAGTAGTTTGCAAAGGCTTGTCGAGTGGACCAGTCAGCTTTGTTCCGTTGGTTTGCACAATTGCCTCGTCAAATGTGAGGACTCCATCCTGATCAGATTTTGTGAGCAAACACATTCATTTTGTGAAGCAGATGAAGTTGATATTGAAATTAAACAAACATTAATGCAGATTAGACTCTGTTTTTGCTTCCATTTCTCGTCGCAGGCTTGCAGCCATGCTCACTCCATGAGTATACTTGGGGAAATACTTGTGTCAAGCCAAAACTAGCAGATGAAGCAAGCAGACAAGTCTGATAACTGAGTACAACCAAAAATTGATGAAAAAGTGCACTTCCACAGCCTGCAGGACTCTTTAAAGAATCAGATCACCACAAAAGTTTGAAGCGGAGCAAGAATCTGCACAGTTCAAGGCAGTTTCAATGTGATGCATCATTTCTGCAAATACACTGAAATTT